CTAAAAATATTATTAAAACTATAATTGGTATGTAGTTCTGCCTAGTGGATTCTATTAAATAATTGGTTAAATTTCGGTAATTATTAGTCAAAAAAATTAAAGTTTTCCTGCTGAGATTTGAAATGGATAAATTTGATATCGATAATTTGAGAGTAATAACTCTTTTTGAAGTCAATGTAATGTTTTGAAATTTAAACATCAAAAATGAAATTAAGAGCTTCATAATGATGGGTTTCAAATCACTTTGGTAAAAATAGTTATTTAAAATTATTACATAACAAAATTCTATTTGTACAAAGAATCTTAACAAACTATATGAAACATATCTCTATTCAATCCTTCATTTTAGAACTATCATCTACTTTCAATAACTAAGACCCTTTTATAATTTTATAAAATATGATTTCAGTAAGAGTACTAATGAACGAACATAAAATCTTTCCAATAGAATGATCTCAGAATAACATAACATCTTCTCCAAAAAATAAATTAGCATCCAACAGTTTACTGCATTAGTAATTCAGAACCATATATGCCTCAATTTCTCTAACAATAATGGGTTAAATTGTACAAAATCCCTTATTCTTTTACAAGAAAATATCAATATTCCCCACACAAACATGAATCTAAGCAGCTAACAACAATGTGGTATGGAGAGAAAAGAAAACAAACTTGGATAAAACCTCTGGATAAAATCATAAATGTGTGCATTGATTTCCTCGGGCTTTTCTTCGTTAAGAAGTGAGCTAATCCTTCCAATTATGACTAATTCCTGTAAAAATGGGAACAACTCTTTTGAAACCGCCACCATGTATAAATTCCTTCACACCTGGGGTAGTATAGGTCAGATCCTCATCGCCCACGATGAATTTGACTGGCACCTTTATTTGTGACCCAGTCCACGGTGCAGTTAGCTCCCAATTTTCTGTAACAAACTAAAGAAAATAAACTACTTGCCCTTGTATTTCATCCCTAAATCGTGGATCTCAAACTAAAAACCTAGCATATTCACAATAGCTTGTTTTCACACAAATTATCAATACAGGAAGATTTGAAATAGGTTGTTGTTCTGTTTGAAACAAATATATCAGATAATTCAAAAATATTGCAACTGTACGAGTCAAACATACAAACATACATGTGCTTCAACATTATTGCAACACGTCTCCTCTGTGGATGTAATTGAATATACAGGCTCCTAGATTCTATTTTCATATGTATGCCATCTAGAAAAGCGTCTCTAGTACAAGAATACTGGAGTAGGAAAATTGTTACGCAAAATAATAAATTGACCCCTTTTTTTTAACTCACATATACGATATGTAGTAATGAAAACTTGGATAGTTAAAATAGAACCCACTAGAATAATATGATAAAAACCGGACAGTGCTATTGGCACTCCTTAATTATAACCATACACTCCTTCCAAAGGGTATGAATTGTTTTGGAATTTTATAGTTAAAAGAGGAATGATTATCTTTTTTACTTTTAATAATTTAACCATTTTAACAATCCAATACTGTGGCATTTAAAATTTTTAAATAATTAATCACAAAGATGACAAAAGTTTTGAGAAAGCAATCAAAATGAAACTTACAGGTCCAAAGCTCGATAGTAATTCAGACCACCAGTGAAACCTTTCTGATTAAATTTGGTTGGCATAATAATGACGTCTTCCTCTGTGAGCCAAGAGGGCAACACAATTGGAGAATTGGGTGAACCACCAAACCCAACATGTTTAGGTACACAAAGTGGACCTGGTTTGCGAGATGTCAGAAATTTCTTCATTAGTCCTTGTAGTGTCAACACGAGCAAACTCCTCTTCTGCCTCTCCAGGGACCTACACCAAATTAATAGCACATTCAAAAAAATAGCAAAAATGCTCTACATAAACTTAAGAAACGTGCATACGGTGTGGGTCATAGATAGGGTTGCAGACAAAACCGAACAATTCGTGAACAACTCAAGCTCATCTAATCTCATTTCAGTTCGTTCGTTTGCTAAATGAATGAGCTCGAGCCCCATTTTTTAGGCTCACTTGATGATGTTGATTATTAATATGAATATTGTTTTATATTTTGCTCATAATCTTCTAAATTTTAATTAATTTAAGTTTTAATTTTCTTGTCTAACTCAATTTTTTGACTCAAACTCCATTATTTTTAACAAGCAAAGCTCAAACACCCTCAAATAAAAGAAACCGACAACAATTTAATTAGCCCAGTGGTTTGCAAAGCGTTTCACACCCTGAAACCTAACCAACCTTCCATCATAAATTTAAAGACTTAAGTAATATCAATGCAAGAAAAATAATTATTGACAAAAAGTAATTAAAAGTTGCCAAATGACCACCTTATAAAGTTGATCTATTTTGTCCCTAAAGCTTAAGGATATTCTTGCCTTGTGTCCGGATACAAATGGCTCGAAGTCATTTTTTATGGAGAGGCAATGACAAAGACAATCACAATCTCTCTCTAATCAGGGCTAACATTAAAGGTGAATCAATGGAAGGGCCAGCCCCACATTGATTAGTTTTCCAAAATAGTCTTTTTGGATCAATCTGAATTATTCCAAAAGAATTTAGTGGGTGTTTAGAAAGTTGCTATTTTTAGTAGGTTATTTTAATTTTTGATTATTTAGGAGGTTTAAAATTTTTAATGTTTAGAAAGATAGTTAAATTTTTTTTTAGTTTGATCGATGTTTGTAAAGAAAAATGAAATTGATTGTAAGTTGATGTGATTATTTTATTTTATTGACTTTTTAATCTATTTTGTCCGATATTTTAGCTAAACAGTTTCTTCCAAAACACCTCAACTATACTAAAAAATACAATATGGTCTAATCATTCAAGTCATAAACAGGCATTGAAACACCAAATACAAATTATACTTATTCCAAATCTGTCCAAAACAAAAATAAAAAATCTCAAATCCATTCACATAAGCCGAATACTATTTAGTATAAAAAAAAAATTCATATTTTAAAATAAAAAACTATAATTCATTTGGTGCGTTTTTAAGTGAGTAAGGTTTGAAATATTATTTCCAAACACGGCTCAATCTTTACGAGCTTAAATCATATTCTGAATTTTATAAATTATGGATGGCTCAATCGGGCCCGAATATTAGGCCCAACTCGAAAGGAATTTGAAAACCAGATAATTTAAACTGTTACAAATTGAGGGCTAAATTGGACAATTGGAAAATTTAACGCAGACTCCACTGCTCAAACCAAAGAGGAGCAATGTCATTTAGGTAAATCAACACGTCCAAGGCTGACCACAGTATGTTATGAGGCGCATCTCCAATGGTAGTTAGGTTAATTTGTACCCTATTTCAAATATTATTTAAAGTATATATTTTATTTACCTACCAACTATTTTATGTTTTTAATTCCAACCATACTCTTTATTTTAGCTTTTATCGCAAATGTACTATTAAATTTTATAGAACTGTCACTGTCAACAACAAAGATGGAGGGAAATGATGCCTAGATGATTGAATACATTTTGACCTACGTTGAAGGCTAGCCTACATGTAGCTAGTGAATATGAGTTATAGCCAAAATGCCTAATCATATGCCTAGTGCATTGGAATTGAAAAAGTGAATCACACTAGGCATTTAACTAACAAGTTAGTATATTGCCCTTAGTGCCATTGGAGTATTTGCTCCTTAAAATAGGTTCGTCTCATATTCTATATACATGTGTCCGTGCAGAATTCTATTGTATATATTTAGGTCCAAGTTTGGAAAACTTGTAAAAAAGAGTTAAAAAGTCAAAAGTTACTCAAAAGTTAAAAAGTTAACATCTATTCATCAAAAGTCACCAATTACGGCTACATAACAACTACAATTCGAATTTTTCCCTACAAATCAATTTTTACAAATTTTTTATTACAATTTTTTCATAAAAAGTCAAAAGTTAACCGCGTCAAATATCCATATTTTTCAACCTCAAATTTTCTTAGTCCAAAAGCAAAAAAGTGCACTTATTCAGGACACCCCAAACAACCCCTTATTTTATTTATAAAATAAAAAATATAAAATTATTAAATATATATTCATTATTTCTTTTTTTTTTAATCTATTACATAAAGTAATAAATTAAAAACCAACAACTCCAATTCCGAATTTTGAAGATAGATAAATCGTCCTCAAATCTTAAATTAATATACAAACCACTTTTTTATATAATAAATAACAAAATCTTTATTCTCATTTTATTTTTAATTATATATTTTTATTATAACTTCTAGAAATAAAGTTGTTATGAGCTGGACAGTTTAACCCGTCTCAAATTTAAATATTATTATGAGCAATTTCATTTTAATATAAAATTTTATTACCTTATTAAAAAGCAAAATCATATTTAAAAAAACTAGATTGACACCACTAAAAAAAATCACTAATAACACTAATACATTGAAAATATTAACACAATATATATATATATATATATATATATATAATTCATTATCACATCATTAGTGGTACTATTAGAGCATCACTTTTAATGCCTCAATTATTTTTCTTAAAAAAAATATTGTAATCTTATTTTGGAAATAATTTAAAACTAAGGGGTTGTTTGGGATAAACTAAATAAATATATTTTTTGTTTTTTTATAAAAAAATATGTAAAAAAATAAAGAAGTGATGTAATAAAAAAAATAAAAAATAAAAAAATAGATTATTTGTAACTTTCCAAACTCGGCCTAGTTATAGCCAAGTACCTGGGTCTATTGAGTGGTCGGTGTAAATCATTTTCCCAAAATCCATCTATGTCAGTGCAGACCCTACTCTCGATCGGAGCAGATCCGTACGCAACTAATTACTATAAAATGAGTGGATCACAATTTGAGACATTCAAACAAAATTTAAATACTGTGTATATACCATCCATCACTTTAACGTGTTCTTAAAATATGGTCACAAAAATCAAAATAAATAAAAATCACAAATCACAAATCAATCTTTAGAAATTTAATTTAAAAATTAATCACCTGAAATCTGCACATATAGTAGTCATCACCAAAAGCAGCTCGCAGGGACTCCAGGGGTTTTCTTCTAGGGTTCCGTGGACTGTAGACGACGCTCATGTTGACCAAAGCCTTTACCCGGTCGGGTCGGAGCAAGCACAAGTACCAAGCCATAACTGCGCCCCAATCGTGGCCCACCAGGAAGATCTGGTCCAGGCCCAGGGCATCGAGGAGGGCTACCAGATCTCCGACGATGTGGAAGGCGGTGTAGCTGGCGGCTGAAGGTGGCGCGTCGGTGTCGCCGTAGCCACGGAGGTCGGGGGCGATGGCTCGGTAACCGCGGGAGGAGAGGAAGAGCATCTGGTGGCGCCACGTGTACCAGAGCTCAGGGAAGCCGTGGAGGAAGAGCACCGCCGGACCTTCGCCGGACTCGGCGACGTGCATATTGATGCCGTTGACGAAGATAGTCTTGTGCTGAATCTTATCCATCTCTTTCTTTGAAATCACCAAATATACCAAACAGAAATAGTCTTTGCTGCTTTGGTTTCAGAGTTGAGAGCTGCCTCTCTTTTTAGTCTTTCGAAGGGAGGAGGAAAATTACTTTTTGTTCACACTGCCAAGCAACAGAAAGGAAAAATATATACCGATGACAAAATTTCTCTCTAACCTATTTTGGGAATTGGACAGTATTATTAGGGTTATGGGTTCATTACGGATTTTATTTTAGGGTTGGTTTGGGGTGTCCTAAAAAAATATATTTTTTAACTTTTTATTAAAAGATGTGTAGAAAAGTAGAGAGGTGATGTGATGGAAAAGAAATAAAAAGATAAAAAAATGGATTATATAGGTTATGCCAAACCAGGCCTTAATGTTTCGAAAGGTTTAATATGTAAAATTTATTAAATATTTTTTTTTATAAAAAAATCACATTGATCGGATATAGATAACAATTTATTTTTACAATTATATTTAGGATGAAATATTTAAGGAACTCTACACATTGAACAATTTGAATCATCAAAATATAATCTGCGGTGGATCTCATAGACCTAACAGTACCGTCTAATACACCTTATCAATAATATTATAAACTCAAACTTAATTATCACAAAATTATTTAAATTTATCATTTTGTTACTATTTAAATTTATTTTACACATGAACCCTATCTAAATAAATTCAATTACAATCAGACAATCTTATTTGGAATAAATTCAAAATAGTTAAATAAGGTTCATACGCTATTTCAAAATATATAGATTTTAGGCCATTTATTATTAATTTTAAAATATTTTTTAATGAATTTTAAAATATTTAAATTTTTTTAAGATACTTCCTCTCACATTTTCAATATTAACATAGCAATGTTATAAATTAAAAATAAAATAAAAAAACACCCATAATTTATGTTGTATGAATCTAATTCATTGTTAATAAAGATCTACAACACATAAGTTCATTCTCTGCAAATCTCATTTATTTTTTAGATAAATTTATTGGCATTTATCTCTTTTATGATATCATTTACCATTATATAAAAACTAAACATAATAAAAAAAATGTATAATTTTTTAACTCTTTTATTTGGTGCAACTTTTACTATTTATAAGGCAAAACAAACTTAAATTAATTAATTTGACAAATAAATAAAAAAGTGATTTTAACTTTGATTATCAATCTTTTTAACTAACTCCGTTCAAAAAAAAATCTTTTTAACTAACAAAAATTTGTATCAAACATAATTTTAATTTGTGACCAAATATAATTTTAAATATTTATAATTTTTATAATAAATGTGATTAATAATAATATTATAATATTAATTGATATATTAATATATACATTAATTCATACCTATAACACCACCGGAATAAAATCCTCAAAGGAAGAGAGAGATGGAGAGATGAAAAGCAAAGCAAAGACCAAAAAAGTCTGCAAAGCAAACCATGGGAGTCTGTGCAAACTATGGGTACTGTACCGGGAATGAAAATTGAGTGGCTATTGATTAGAATTCCGAGGAAGGATAGTGATTTTAAATATTTTATTAATATTTTTATTAAATATCTTAAATGAGTGGAATTTTTATGAGACTTATATAGTGTGAATTTTAAATTTATATAAGATGTTTGATAAAAATATTGATAAAATATTTAAAATTCTTAATTTTTCTTTTAGAACTTTACTGTTGAGTTAAAAAAATAAAAAAATTAAAAGATCTACTTGTATATGTTTGGAATTAAAAATTATTTTACAAATTTATTTTAGTCAAAATTTTAATTAGTGTGTTTGATTTTAATTTTTTAAAAATTAATTTTTTTATTTTTTATATTTTTTTGTTTTTAGTGAATATTTTTGAAATTTTAAGTGAGGGTAATTTGTATAAACCACAATTTGGCCGAGCTAGGTAAAAGGGATTGTGCACATTGGGCTATTTATTAGGCCGAGATAACCCCAGGAAATGGCCCGATTTTGGGTCGAGCCTGTTACAGACCAGTTAGAGGTGATTGCTAGATCTTGAACTACGTTACCTGGAGAGTCCACGGCAGAACCGTGGTGTTTTATTGCTAGAAGGCCGAGTTATGCGCAACTCGATAAAACACAATGTGTGTTGGCGCGGTTCAGAGCAGGATATCTCGGTTGGTGTACAGGGAGCAAATATTCCGGCAAGCCCGTACTCCTTTCTTCCAAACTCCGTTTATGTCCGATCACCTGCGCGCAAATAATGGTGAGCTACCCGGCGGTGTGTGGCCGGAAAAACCCTCCGACGATCAAGTTAGCACACACCTTAGGATAAGGAGAAAGAGGGAGAGAGGAGTTTAAGTGTAAGAAATTCCTTACAAAGTGTTCATCTGTCGCGTATGGGGGGCGCAGACATGCTTATATACCCTCTGTGCCCCATATCTACTCCTAGTCATCTCCTGACACGTGGCTCCGCTATCCCATCTGTCAGCATAAACCTTGCTGAACATCACCTAATCTCAACTGCCTGCCATCACAGCTGGAGCTCGGCAGCCGAGCTGCTCTATCCGTTGTTGTGCCGTGTCGTGCTTCATACCCAAGCACTTCACCGGCTAAGACCAAGGAGGACCGGGCTAGGCGGCATCTCGGCAAAGCCTAGCCCGAGGCACCTCCTGTGGTCGGCCTTTCTGCCGGTCAAACAGTTACCTCGGCTGACCACGCCTTTCCGGGCGCCGGTCACTCAGCTTGTCTGGCTTCGGCCATCCCCTGATCGCGCAGCTCGGTCCGACCGAGCACTGCCTTGCCGAGCAGCTTCTTTACGGTCTGGGGCGGCACACACTCGGCCCAAGTTCTGCCAGGCCCAAGTTCTGGCAGCCCATCTTTGGGCGGATAGTCGATCATCTCGACCCCATGCACCGTTGGGCTCTCAACCTGCTCGGCCGTTACCTCGGCCCAACTCCAGATCATAAATCACCCTCTCAATTGGGCATGAGACTCTTAGGAGGATTTTGCTAAAGAGAGTAGAGTCCTACTAGGATTATGCAAACTATCTCACTTGGTTAGTAGTAAGTAGGGTGTTATTAGGATAGGCATTATCCTTGGGAGTGTGATTCCTAAGAGGACTTTGCTAAAGAGAGTTGGAGTCCTACTAGGATTGTGTCAAGCGAAATCTATAAAAGCTCATGGTAGGACCTATACACAGGTATTGCAATTCTTACTCTCAAATACACAGTGCTTATTGTCTATTATCTAATTGCTGACTTAGGCATCGGAAGGGGTTTTTGGCACACACCCACCACCTAGCTTACGTTTGTGTTTTCAGGAAGTAAAGCGACGACATTTGGAGGAGTGCAAACTTAATCAATAGCATTATACGAGAAAATTATTTCGTGCTCCTACAAATGGCGTTGTCTGTAAGAAGCTTTACAGAGAACAAACCTTTGATCGAGTTTTTCTTCGACTAATTCCAATCGCGCATAATGAAGACTTGCCACATAGAGGGGACGGGAGGCGCAAAGGTTTGCCTTTTGTCCCACCCATGATAGAATTGGATCTCCAGCGACGAAACCCACGGAGAGACGCACGAGAAAGACGAGGCTTAAGTCCACGTCACTCTCAAAGCCCTGATTGACAAAGGCGGATGATGGATCCTCAGGTTCTGAAAGATCACGTAAGGGAGCAAGACGAAGTGATAAGGAGAATGGAGGCTGACATGGAGACTATGAAGCGCTAGATAAAAGGCAAAATGGTGGCAAAAGAAAAGATGGGCAAAGGCAGAACGCACTCTCGCCACACAAGAGATCGTAACAGGAAAGTCACACCATTTGAGACTGAAAGCAAAAGCCTCAGGATAAGCAACACGCAGTCAAGAACCTCTAGGACTCGTTACTCCAGGTTTGAAAGAACGAGGACTGAAAGGTCTTGTACGGAGTGAGGCAATTATCAACCCTCGCATACGCACCAAACGACATCCAGGCACACAGAATTTCCTAGGTCGACAGACCTGCGGACAGTGCTAGAAGAAAGGGCTCGAAGAAGAGAAAATCATCAGGCACGCGACCCCCAAAGGGTATCTGCTCTACAGTAGATAGCTCCTAGGATGCATGGAAGTGTCGAGATTGGAATGCCAGTATCACGCCTTGCCTACGAACCAACAGACAAAGCATTAGCAAGAATGTAGAGCTCGTTGTTCGTTCCCGCGATAGAGAACGCACCATTACCCATAGGCTTCCACCAGCCTAAGTTCACAACTTATGAGAAAAATTCAGACCCCTACCCCTACATATACTTTTTCCACTTTCGCCAGGTCATGGTTGTATACCGACAGAACGAGTATAGCGATCCCGGTTGTCGCTTTACTGTTCTGTTGTATTTCAGACTCGGTTCCGTGATGTTGGTAGTGGTACACTTTGTTGTCATCCTTTAATTCCACTTGATTGAGTTTTAGGATGTATGGAGCAGAGTTTTTACAGGTTGGTTAGGCTTTGGTTTCAATTCCTTGTTGCCTAGTTTTTAGGAGGTCCGCTCGAGCGGGTCTTCTTGCGCTCGAGCGGAGATTACGTGCTCCCAGTTTTTCGTGTCCCAGCAAAACTTCTGCAGGTGTGGTTTTTATGCTCGAGCGGTGGAGCTCGAACGGAAACTTTGGCGCTCGAGCGGGTAGTACCTTTTCGGTGTAAGTTCTGGGAGGGGGAAATCTACGCTCGAGCAAACTGGTTTTCGCGCTCGAGCGGATGTGCTTTATTCTTGTGTCTTGGCGCTCGAGCGGGGCTTTTTGCGCTCGAGCGGATCTAGTTTTTGTTGTTGACGCTCGAGCGTTGTGTTTTTCGCTCGAGCGGGAATGTCGTATATCAGTTGGCTGTGGGACAGTTTTAAATCACTTTTCTCATTCTTTCTCTCTCTTACTTTTCCAAAAAAAAAAAACACCATTGTTGAGCTTCTCACTTTAGAGCTCTACCTTCTCTCTAGGTATTGATCTAGTAGGAGTGATTTCCTCACCTTTGGCCTTTACAAAAAAGTTGTTGATCGTCGAGGGCTATCTTTTGATCCGAAAAGTTCGTGGTTTGGAGCATTTTCGTTTCCATCATCTTCTTGGTTGGGTGTCATTCTTTGAGGTAGGGATAACCTACTCCTCACTATGGGTTTTGTCTTTAAATTTCAGCATTTTGAGATGTTGGGGTTGGTTTGGTAATTTTGTGAAAGTTTGGGACTTTTGTGTA